ATGGATTGCTCGCCAAGTACCGCCCGGAACTCCTCGACTTGCCGACGACGAACGGCGAGCACTGCCAGGGTGACGGTGCCAAGATGGCCTTCGAGATTGGCGCCAACGGCATCGACCTCGACAAAGTCCAGGTTCACCCGACTGGTCTCGTCGACCCGAACGAGCCGGACGCCAAGGTCAAGTTTTTGGCTGCCGAGGCGCTGCGCGGCGTTGGCGGTCTTCTCATCAACAGGGAGGGCGACCGTTTCGCTGACGAGCTGGGTCACCGTGACTATGGTAAGGTCTCGATCGCAGGTAATCCCGGTTGCACACTCGCGCACTGACGCCGTCGTCACTTTTCCCAGTCACCGGTCGCATCTGGGAGGACAACAAGCTGCCAGTCCGCCTCATTCTCAACGGCGAGGCGAGCAAAGAGATCGAATGGCACTGCAAGGTTCGTAAACCGTCTCGCTCCGCTCTCCGCACCTGTTTGCTCACGAGCATACCATCGCCCGCAGCACTACGTCGGTCGCGGCCTGATGAAAAAGTTCGACACCGTCGAAGATGTCGCCAAGGAGATGGGCATCCCGGCTGCCAAGTTGCAGGCTACGTTCGACAAGTACATGGAGATCTGCAAGGACCCGAAGAAAGACCCGTTCGGCAAGAAGTTCTTCCACAACACGAACTGGAAGAACAACGCCGGTCCGTTCCACGTCGCCGTCATGTCGCCTGTCCTGCACTACACCATGGGCGGCCTCGAGATCAACAACCGCTCCGAAGTGCTCGACACGAAGAAGCAGCCGATCCCGGGTCTCTTCGCGTCCGGCGAGATCGCCGGCGGCGTTCACGGCGCGAACCGTCTCGGAGGCTCGTCCTTGCTGTACGTCCGCGGCAGCTACTTCCCGTCTCGTGCCGTGCTGACTATGTTCCGGTTGTGTGCTCACAGCGGCTGTGTGGTCTTTGGTCGCGTTGCGGGCGATTCGGCGGCCTCGCACCTTCTCAAAGAGCTCTCGACGGGTTCCGGCGCCCTGTCTCGCCTGACTCAGGTCAACGGACACTTGTCGGCCGCGCCTCTCTCCACGACGATCCAGATCGACCCGTCCTCGCAGCAGGTCAACCTCACTTTCAAGTGGGGCAGCGGCGAGGGCCACGGTTCGGGAGCGAACGCCGGCGACGTCAAGCCGCAAGGTCCGAGCACGGCCGAGCAGCCCGCCAACGAAGTCTCAACCGCGGCCAAGCACAACGAGAAGACCGAGTCGGGCGAGAAGCAGATGAAGGAGTACACGGTCGAGGACGTCTCGAAGCACAAGACCAAAGATGATTGCTGGGTAGGTTTCCGCGTCGCCTCGGCGAGTTGACAGTGCGCTGATCGTCTTGACCGTCTGCGCAGGTCATCATCGACGGTCAAGTGCTTGATGTCACCAAGTTCCTGCCGGACCACCCGGGCGGCGCCAAAGGTACGCCGTGCCTGTCTGGTTTCAAGCGTGTAGAGAGAGCGAGCTGATGCTCAAGCTCGAATTCGTCCTCCTCCTCGCAGCGATCCTCTTGTACGCCGGACGCGATGCCACCGAAGAGTTTGACATGCTGCACGAGCGCAGCGTCATTACCAAGTACGCCAAAGACACCATCATCGGCAAGATCAAGAAGTGAGCGAGCTGTCGGTGTATGCTTGAGGTATCGGGTTCAAAAGCCTGGCGTGGATCTCTTTTAAGCTTTCCTGTTGTGCAGTTCCTTCGTAGCGATGTGCAAAAATCCGCTTTATCTACAGTTGGCCGCATGTCTGCATGTGAGGTTCTACTCGGTTTTGTCGTTGATGTGCACAAGGCGCCTTCCGACGTCCTCCTGCTGCCAAAACTGCGGAGCCGTGCTCGGTGCCCCGGCTGCGTCCGCTGGCGTGCCGACGACGCCCTCCTGGAGGCTGCCACTGGCAGCAGTCTTGGCCGACTCGTCGCTGTCGTCGTCATCGGTGTCGTTGTCCTTCGATTTCTCGGCCCAACCCATCGCGCGCCGGGTCATCTCCTTCGGAGAGAGGCGGATGTTGTGCTCGTCGAGCCAGGCGCGCTTGAGCTCCAGGTCGCGACGACGGACAAGTTGGTGGGCAATCGAGCCATCCCACTCAAGACGGACCAGCAGCCAGCGGGCGAGGGCTCGGGCAGCCGCATACGCCTGTGAGGATACAAGCGCGACGATCGCCGCCGTGAGGAGGAGAGATTTGACCGCCGAGAGGGCGTCCGTGCCTCCCGTCGCTGGAGGCAACGCACCCATTAGCAGCGGTGCGTCGGACGGCGGCGGCAACGTGATACTTTGCGCTTCCGAGAGTCGAGTAGCCCAGAAAGACGACGCGCCGCTGGCTGGCAGGGTGACGTTCTTGTGCGTGAGCTCGGCGAGGTAGGCGGCGGTTTTTCCGGGAACCACCGCGCGTTCCTGGTAGAGATAGACGAGCGACGACGTCGTCAAGCTTCCAACGTAGGTGATGAATCCCTAGCGTCGACAGGGTGATTAGCAGAGTGATGCTCGATGTGTTCGGCGCGCGGATAGTCCGCTCACAAGGATGTCGAGCCAGGGTCCGATCGAAGCAGCTCGCGTCGGGATGGGTCGGCGGGCTTGCGTCGCCAGCTTGAATGCGTCGGACCGGATTTCAATCTGTTTTGAGCGTTTGGTATAAGCATCAGCTGTGGCCGTCTGGGCGTCCCCGGAAAAGCACGCACGACGTTGTTGATGAGGCTCCACAGCGGGCTGATCGGCCAGACCACGCCAAACAGGGCAAGGTAACCGAACTGGGTGGCCATCTCGGCGTACTCGTTGAAGATTTCATTCCTGGGAGTATGCAATCGCCGCTCAGCGAGGGATTCACGCAGCGCGGGAGCGAGAAAACAGTCTCACGTCGGAAGGAGCTGCTCCTGGCGGATCCGATGCAAGAACTCCTTCTCCTCCTCGAGGTCGTCGGTGTCCGGAGGAGTCTGCTTCGTGTCCGGTGTCGCGTGATGAAGTTTCTCCTGTACCGCGGGGACCAACTTGGCCTTGAGATACGGCAAACCGACTTCGAGGAAAGCGCCGGAGATTTGGTTCGTCAGGGTGTACGCGATGAGCTGAGAGTGTAGCTTTGTCGTGTTGATACCGAAGCTGCCCGTCGCTGCGGCCCGGATGGATGCGGTGTACCGTGCCGGCAGTCGCGAGATGATGTGCGGAACGAGGGCGGATCCGAAGGGAATCTGTTCGTGACGCACGTTTTGTCAGCAAGACCGAGATTCGGCGAGTGTTCTGGGAGGCTCGGCGCGCTCACGTAGACATAGCTCGTGAGCAAGAGGTTGCCGTATGCCGAGACAAAGTTGAGCGCGAACGTCTTGAGCGCGAGGCTAGCATCGTACTCGGATTGCCGCGGATGGTTCTCAAAGGCGGTGAGCTTGGCGGCCGTGACAGCCCAGCTGATGATTGTTTGCCAGGTCAGTCATCGAAGCACCTCACCGTCGGAAGCGCAATTACGCACAGTGCGTTCACTTGAGGCACAACGGAGACAAAGATCACCGTCGGAAGGAGCGTCTGGTTCTCGATCCGAATTTTTAGTTTCGCGGTTTTCTCGTGAGGCAAGAACGCGAGTGGACTGACCAGAACGCGCTTCAGCGGTCCATCATAAACTTCTCCGACCAACGTCTCGACGGTGTAGATAACTGCCACAAGGGCGCCGAGGCACGCGACGAAGAAAGCGTACGCGGGGAGGCTCGCCAGTCCGCGGGTCAGGGTTCGGCCAAAGGACCAGCGCTGGCGGGTGACACCGGTCACCGGGTCTACCTCCGTCCCGTCCCCTTGAAAGCCCGGTCGTTCGAGTTCGACGCGATCGAGGCGGTGAGTGCCCCACTGGACTGCCAGCGCGCGCTCGCGGACGCGCCAAGTCTCGACAAACAGGACCGACCATCCGACGAATCCGAGGCCCAGAAGCGGGTGGAAACGGAGTCCTAGGAGCCAGAAGAAGGCGCCGAGCGCGGAGGGGAAGGCGAGCGAACGGGCGTAGAAGCCTAGGAAGGCAAAGTAGACGGCGACTCTTTCGCCGAGATGCGCCTTTAAGTCGTCAAGTTCGTGCTGAGGGATGGAGAGGACGCCGAGCGGGTCCTGACTCAAGCGTTCCGTCGGGAAGTGAGCCCAGCGCTGGAGCCAGAGCCGATTAAAAGTCGTGTCGTGCGGCGGGAAGATGTCGATCAGGTGAGGAAAGTCGGTCTTGTTCGCAGGCGTCGGCGGCAGCTGGGAAGCCAGGGGGAGGCCGCAGGTCATACCGGTCGCTGTGGCAGATCGGATGGACGGCGTCCCCGCGGTCCGCGGCGACGTCAAGATCCCGTAAACGAGGCGCAGGCGTTCTGCCTCTTCGATGGGTTCGACTGCAAAGTCCCGCGGCTCGCGAGGGCTCGGCTGCGGGCTGGCCACCCCATGCAGCCAGTTGGACATCCTGGGGAGGTGTCGTCGTGTCAGGTACGGGCTCTCCTACAGTCGCCGGGTCCGTGCCGCCGACGTCACTCACCGCTCCCGGGTCGCTTCCTCCCGCACACGATGTTCATCCGCCTTCACAAAGACGAGGACGGCGTTCGTGCCGTCGGCTGCCTTGCGACTCGTGACCCGCAAGTCTGCCGCCTTGAGCGTCGTGACGAGGCGGTCATACTCGGAGGACAGCTGCGCAGCCCGTTTTGCGCGCAAAGTCGAGTCCGTTTCGGTGCTGAGGCCTCGGATCGGACTGTTGAAATTCGGGTCGATGCTGAACACGAGGACATAGTCTGGACGGGGGTCCATCTTTGCCTGCGCGAGTCTCTAGGAGGTGAGCGGTCTTGGGAGAGAGAGCGACCGTCGTGGCTCGGCGCCGATGTGGGGTAGAAACGATGACGCTGCTCGGACGGGCGGCGCAGTTCGTATGTTTCGCCGCGCGAGTTTTTGCTCGTGACCCTGTGCATCCAACGGAAAGAATATCCGAGCTTTATATGCACAGAGAGCGGCAAGATACTGTTACGGCGGTCAGCAAAAAGGAGCAAAATCGGTGCTGGAGCGAGTGGGATTCGAACCCACGAACTCGTAAGAGAGGGAGGCTTAAGCTCCACGCCGTTGACCACTTGGCTATCGCTCCGTCCCAGCTCAGATCAAAATCTAAGTGCGTTTATATTTCGCTTGCCTGTGTTCGCCCTTGGCCATCTTTAGGCGGCCGGGTGTCAGCTCAGGGTGCCTCAAGCAGTCTGCTGTGTCTGTTATGTGTTGAGCTCAGTCTAAAAGCTGCTCAGTCCAGAACCTGTGAGCATTCTGGTCCAGTGGCGAGCGGGAAATTAATGCCTCCAGACTTCACTGCACTGTCCTCGCTTGTCCTTGTGTGCTCACCCTGGCTCATAGCCATGTGTGCAGCAAGTTTCTGAGCCTACAGGTGGCCTTGCATAAGGTTCAACAGCAAGGGATGCCGGCAGCGCCGTGGAAAAAATGTGAACTCCGCACTAGTGGCAAAGCGGCGCAGGACCGCAAAAGAAAGATCTTTGGAGGACCAGGGAGTCGAACCCTGCACCTCTCGCATGCTAAGCGAGCGCTCTACCGATGAGCTAGACCCCCGTGGGTGGAAATCCGTGTCTGGTTTGCCGTTTACACCAGAAACGGGGCAAATGGCGGCAAAACGCACCGCATCTCGCCCCCTCCGCCCCGGAGCGCATTCCCAAGACCACAGTCTAGGAGAGAAAACTGCTGCGCATCCGGCCAATCAACCTAGACCTCGAGGGGGCCAATGGCCAAAGTGAGAACCCCGTGAGAAGGTCAAGCTCGGTCACTCCGGAAAATGGCCCCCCATTGCGCCCTACGGCACCGGAGCACATCCCCAGAAGCATAGTCAAGACAAGGGAACCACTTTACATTCTTTCAGCAAAGCTGGGAGTCGAGGGGAGCAATCACCGAGATAGGAGCGCGGCGAGAAGGTCCAGCTCGGTTGCTGCTGGGCGGACTTCCCTTCGGTCGTCCTCTCAGCTTCACTCGTCGTCGACTTCCCATTCTAAGTCTCCTTCTTGCTCCTTTCTTTTCGAACGTCATAACACTTCTTTTCTTACAGATGATCTACTCTATCGTACCGGACCCAAAGTGCCAGCCGACGCCTCAAGACTTCATCGTCGGATCAAGGAGGCTGGAACGCTCGGTGTTGAATGAACCGAGCGAACACTCTCTCGACGAGCGGAGCGAGCTAGCGGGACCCAAGTGTGTATTACTGGATTCTGCTCGTCAGCTCGTGTGGTGAGC